GCCTCCCCGTTAGCTAAGAGGACAAGACAGAACGTCACTTTCTCTCCTGCATATTTTCCCCTCCTCCTCTTCTCTCCTCTCTCTCAATCATTCTTGGTTCTTTCACACTATCTCTGTTTCCTGTAGGTTCTCTTCTCTCTTGTAGGCTGCTGTCTCTGTCCTTTCATCTCTGCCTCCACTGAGATTGCTAAAGCCCTCTTTCTTTCCCATCCCTCTCCAGAGTCCCCATAGGGCCACTTGTGCTCCTTTCCTCTTCAGAGTTATTTGATTGCAGAACCCAGTCCTCTCCTGTCTGCTTGCTGCCCTTCATCTAGTGCTGGCTGAAGTGAGCTTTCTGTTCCCAGTGACACTGCATGTGAAGTAACCAGAGTGGATCTGAGCACAGGGATTACAGCCAGAACAATAATGCCTTTGTAATGCTGTGGGGATTATTCTTCTCCTATGGAGTAAGACCTGAAGAGCAACGCCACATCGTCAAGCAAACAGAACCTCCAGCTGTCAGTTCTATAGCTCCCTTTAGAGACAGACACGTGGTTGGTCAACTGCGGTTCCCCTGAAGGTAGACACTTGGCACCCTTGTTCCCATTGACAGGTTTCAGAGTAACAGCCCTGTTAGTCTGTATTCACAAAAAGAAAAGGAGTACTTGTGGCACCTTAGAGACTAACCAATTTATTTGAGCATGAGCTTTCGTGAGCTACATCGATGAAGTAAGCTGTAGCTCACGAAAGCTCATGCTCAAATAAATTGGTTAGTCTCTAAGGTGCCACAAGTACTCCTTTTCTTCTTGTTCCCATTGAAACACACTGTGATTCTGCATCATCATTTGACAGAGACAGCAACATGGTAGAGGATGTGATGGGCCTTCTTTTGCCATGGAACAAGTCCCCTCTCTAGCAACCCAGCAGCTCTGCCTAGTCCACCTTTGCTTTCAGTTTGTTCATCCTTCTCACTCCTTCTTCCTTTGATGGATGATTCCATAATAAAATGACCTTCTGGAAGAAAAAAATCTCTTCTAATTTCTATCCTATCCCCTACTTCTTGAACTTCAGTTCCTACCCCTTTCCTGTACCAAAATGGGTCTCTGTAGGAGCCTTTCACGCACTCTTATCATGGTTAGATCCCCATAAAGGCAACAACTTTCAAGACTAAAACAAGTTCAGTTTCACCTCACTTTCCTCAGGAAAGGAATCCTGGTTCACAAAAATCCTCAGTAAATATCTTTCTACCATTATCATTTCAGAACGCCTTTTCAATCGCAGCATATGAGCCAAATTCTGGTTCCATCTACATCAATGGCAAAATGCCCATTTGCTTGGCTGGGACCAAGAGTTGGTCTAGCATGTTTTGGAGTGATTCAGAGGCTATTTCATGAGCAACAGTGCTGGGTTCAGCACTCTACAGAGCACCCAAGGAACTTACACTGTACGTTAACCAGCCAATACAGTTTGGATTTATAATGCCATAGCTGCTTGTCAGATATCCAAGCAGTGATTTATCCCTTTGTTTCAGGTAATGTCCTACCCTTGATCCCCTGGCAGGATGCCACTAATGGGTTTCATGGGGCAAAATGGGATCTTAATAAGAAGAGAGCGTTCATTGAGTGCACGAGGTTAGTGAGTGAGTTTAAAGCTAAAGCAGCCCTATGGAAGAAGGTCTGAATGTGAGAGTGGGAGAATGATAGAAAAGGAATGCTCAGAAAGGATAGAATAGGGGCTTCTGGCAGTCAGGACTCTTCTATTCCCAGCTCTGTCATTGACTAGCTATGTGACCTTGGGTAAAAGTAATTTTAATTTATCTGTGCCTCACGCTCTCCACATGTAAAATGAGGATGAGACCTGCCCGTCCCATACGTGTAGTTGTGTTTGTAAAGCACTTTGAGAAGCTCAGATGGAGGTGCTCCTGGAGAGCCGAGTATAGTTTTCATAGAAGAAGGTAGTGTTTCTCCAAATGCAAGTGTAAGGAAGACAAGGACCAGGAAAATGTAATACTGCAGAAAGATCTATTCCAACAAATCACAAAGCCCATGGCCTCTCCTTCCTCAGGCATTTTGGGGCTTCACAGCTTGTCCTGGGGCATTTCTCACTCATCTCACTGTCAAGCAGTTCCTTAACAGGCCTGCTCCCTGTGCTCTTTAATACAAACTGAAATGTGCTCTTTTGAGTTTCCTTTAGGACAGATAATACACCCCTAGTTCCTTTGAATCCTGCTCCATTTCTTCCAGGCCCTTTTCACTAGTGCTAAGGAGGGGCAAAAGGATTCAGATCCCAACAGCAAAGAGCTTTTGATAATTGTTGTAAAGTTTGGGCAGGATTTTTACCACCTACAGGCAGTGCTGCATTCATAATTACCTGCTGGAATGGGACAGGCACCTCCGTGCCACCTGCTGACATTGAGATGCCTATGACTTTGGGAATGGAATGCCATCCTCTTTCTGGTTTAGTATCTGATTTTGAATTACACAGATAGCTTTGACATTAGTTCCATCTCAGGAAGCAGTGAGTGTGCGTGTTATGTAATATAATCTTAGTGTGTCAAGGATTCTGGTCTGTCCTCTTTTGTACTGCCAGATGGCATAGAATATCCATTCTCTCTGGAGAGATGTTCATATACATTTAGCAGCTGGATTTATGGTGGTTCACTCTGTAACTGGGCACTGTTGTTCCTTGGCATTTGGCTCCTGCAGATCAGCTAGCTCTTTAGTATTCAGTCGATGCCACACAGCCTCTTGCCTTACACTGAAATCCCAAGATTAAACTGTGTCTGCAAGAGGACATAAGTGAAGAACTTTAAAAGCAAATTTGAAAGGAGGGTCTAATTCAGATTCTCCAAACATGTTCCTTCCCTGCTGAGACCCAGGCCTTGGTTAGTGAACAACAGGTGTTAGATCCATGCTCTTACTCTGTCCCCTTCTGCACTTGCTTCAGCTGCTGCCTGTTTCCTTGCTGCTCTGTTCTATAACATGGCTCTTAGGCTGCATTGTTATTGACTCAGTTAGTGGAGCTGTTTCTTACCTTCATCACTTTGGAGAGCATTTCAGGGATGAATCACACACCTGCATAAGTGACTCCCTTCCCACAAATGAGGCATCTGCTCAAAATTCTGCAGTGCTCAGTTGATTGAGACAGGGAACTATAACCCATCTGCTGGCAGTGATATCACCACAGTCCTCAGAAATAGCCCCAAGAACTTCATGCTTCTTCACAGCAAGCAATGTCAAATAGGACTCCAGTGGTGTGAACTTCCTCACAGCTGTGCGCGGTCAGTGCCAGCTGGGACTCTAGGAATGCCAACTTCTCTAAAAGCAGTACCACGTCAATATCAGAACTCCAGCACTATGGGCTTCTCCAAAGCCCACCTAATGTCTGTATGAGTTCCTCATTATGGATTCTCATACCAGTGTGCTGTTTAGTGTGAGCTTCCTTGCAGAAATGTCTCTTCAGTATCCATGAGTTCTCCAGCTACAGTAGTTCCAGCGAGGACTCTGCCTCTCATACGTGTAACCATACTGCTTCTGGAGTGCAGTTCTAGTTTAATATTATAACATATGAACAGCCAGTTATACAAAAGGGCAGCTGGGCTATAATTAAGAGCTAGAATGACAGTGCAGATTTGAGCAGGAAATTGCTACTGGACAAGTGTCCTTATTACAATAACCACTATCACAGTTGGCACTAATTAGCCATAGAAACTGGACTCTTCTCTTGACCCTTGAGAGGGCTTGAGGCATATTGTGGGAGAATCTTGTACTGCAGCGGAACATGCTGAACATGCTGTATGCGTTCTGTAGCTAAGCACCTTCGGTCTCCAGGACTGTTAATGAAACATAAACACAGCATGGAAAAGTTGGGGAAGGGGAGAGTGTGGCCTTTACTCACTGAGAACATGTGTCTGATAGGAACATTTAGCGCTTATCTTTGTCCAACAACAACTGATTAAAATTTAAAGCCCCTTTTCAAACCTGTCACCCTTTGAGAATAATGTTGTGGGTTTGATTACAGTAACACTTGAGACACCAATTTCTTAGAAACAAATGTTTCTTTATTTTTATAATTGCCCTGAACCAAGGCCCCAGATCCATTACCAGGCTTGCATCTGAGTTCACAGGAAGAAGCTATCTCTAAAATAGTCTGAACAACTGATTCCAGCCCTCCTGAACTTTGAGAACTTTGGGATTTAGATCAGGAATCTGAATCTCCACCTTTGGGAGTGTTTTGATCCAGGGATTTGTTCCTGCCAATTATACCAGTAAGAAGTTTGGATCCAGGCCTAAAATTCCAGGGATGTATTACTTAAGCAGTTTGAGCTCCCTAAAAGTGCCTGCTGGAACTCTGTGGAACGTGGAGTCCCCAGTTGCAGTGCTAACCACCACTTCCATAGCTGTGACATCCTCACAGCAATGCACCAGTGGAAGCCATCACTACACCAACAGGAGCTTTCTCACAGCAGGGCGTTCAACTCAGCTAGCACCCCAGCTGTGTGAGCTTCCTCACAGCAGTGCCCTGCCCCTGCCCCCTGCAGTGTGAGCTTCCCCACTGCAGTGCCCAGCTCTGCCTTCTGCTGTGTGAGCTTCCCCACAGCAGGGCCCTGCCCCTGACCTCTGCAGTGTGAGCTTCCCCACAGCAGTGCCAAACTTTATTTCTTATGTGTAGCCTGATTTAGTCCTCTTTCTGTTGTCCGCTTTCCTCTCTTCAAGTTCCTGCTCACAAAAGAGCTGGGCCAGGGCTGCTTGGAAAGTTGACCCCCCTGCAAGTCAAGGCGGGGGCCGGTTACCAAGACAAGGGAAGGGGGCTAATGTGAAGCGTCCTTGGATGTTTATGGTGATGCTCATTTTCTGCCTGACACCGAACCGGCTCCCTCAGCCCTTCCTGGTGGGTGAGAGGGACGGATTCGGGTTTCAGGCGCTCGGACTCCCCTCCACGTTCACGCACCACCCGATCCCCGGTTAAAAATTCATGCAGCTGCCGCAGCGATCTCCATCCTCCCCGTGCCTGCTGGGAGCTGCAGACAGCGCAGCCCGGGCTGGGTGGGAGATGGCTGCTGCCCTCCGCATCCACCCGAGGGGAGCCGCTGAGCGCCGGTCGCCGCGGAGCGCCCGGCTTCTCCGCGCCCGCCTGGTCCCCCAGCGCCCCCGGGTCGGCTCCTCTCGCTGGGGAGGGGAGGAGGAGACTCAGCGCCTCACCTGAAGGAGCTGCGCGTCGGCACCTTGGAAGGCCAGCAAGGGGAGGGGGAGGCTGCTGCTGAGGAGACGGTGCCCTCCAGCCCCCTGCTCCCTGGCCGAGCCAGTGCCTTCCCAGGCCATTGTCTGAGCTGTCACATGGGCCGTGGTGCTGAATTTAAGCAGATTTCCCAAGGACATGCCACGAGCACTTCCTCCAGCCCGTGGGGACCGCCGGGCGGAGAGCTTCCCCCAGACACCCTCCTCTGCGGGCTTTACGATGCGTCTGTAGCCTCCCCGAGATGAGCTCGCCCATTGCGAAGAGCGAATCCAAGACTTCGCTGCTGAAGGCAGGGGGGAGCCGGAGGGCTGCGGCAGGAGCGGAGCCCCAGCCCAGGAAGAGCCATGCCCGGGGCGGGAAAGGGCAACCCAGGTACCCAGCGCGGGAGCTGAGCCGCCAGGAGCAGCTCCATGGGGACCCCAGTTCCAGGAGGCCACTTTGCCACCCCGGAGTCAAGGAGAATGGAGTGAAGGGGCTCCAGAAGCAGTCACATGGACAGGGCGAGAGCCAGCCGGAGCCAACAGAAGGAGGTCCAAGCAGAGGCAGCAGCAAGGCAGAAGCGAGGACCTCTAGGCACCATCACCATCACCACTCTCAGCAGCAGCATCCCAGCCGGGACCAACAGCAGCCGCACACCCAGAGGGATGGGGAGGAGAGGGAGGAGGACTTTTTCTTTGGTCACAGAGAGGGGTCTAGCAGAGAGTCCCTAAAGCTCTCTGAAGGCTCGTCACCTCTGTCCAAATCCAGCAGCAAGTACTCCACCAAGTCCAACAGCAGCGACAGGTCCGGGGAGGCAGATCCCCTCTTCCACCAGCTGCACCCCATCCTCAGCTCCGTCTTTGGCCAGGTAAGGACCAGAGTGTCTCACACCCGCCCAGCACCCGCGTCTTTCTGCCCCTTTACACATCTTTGGCTTGCCGGCTCGGAGCCCTCCTGTGCTTTAGAAATAAGCTCGCAGCTATAAATGCACTGCTTCCTGGCTGCCTCTGCCAAACTTCTCTGAGCCATTTGCATCACAGTGGTGTAAAGTTAAAGGGGCGTCTTCCTTGCAAGTGTGAACTAAGGTGCGTGTGTTTGTGTGGAGCGGGAAGGTTTGTACCGCGGACGGGCATGGCATAGGCTTAGCTGTGCGGGCTGGGAGCTGGCTTTGCGAGTGTCTATTGATAAAGGACGGCCGGGGGGTGGAATCTGTGCACTTTCTGTCTTCCCTAAGGAAAGAACAAACCCCGTCAGGTCAATGGCTTATAGGAAATCCCCATTGGGAGGCGGACGCTGCCGCAGCTGCCCTAGTCTCCTGGGTGACAAAGGGTTCTTCCTGGTCGGGTCTGCATGTGCTGCGCGGCGTGTGGCGCTCTGAGAGATATCGGGCACTTAATTCTATTTCATCCCAACACCAAAGTGAATCCCACCCCTCGCCCCATCCCCCTCTCTCCTTGGTTCGCTGAAAATCCACTCTAGTCTTGGGGGAGGGAGTCAAAGAATCTGATCTGAAAAAGAAATGCAGATATTAGTCTTTCTCGCCCTTTCTTTTCTTTATATGTTTACTTCTCCTGAGGGTACATTTATGTGCAATGAGAATATGACTCATTTATGATGGCAGAGCTGTCGGAAGAAGGGAGGGGGACAAAAAATCCTTCTGACCCAATTCTGAAACCCTCTCAGTCAGTGTGTTGAGAAGGAACAGATGCTTTCAGTGTTTGCAAGCTCTTTCTGTACAAAGCTGTTGTTTTTAGCTGCGCCTGGTAATGAAATGACCCCTGACAGGGCTACTCTTTAAAAGTGAAGAGGCAAAGGGAGCCTCACTTCCAATTTTCATTTAGAGCCGTTATGGGATGTTACTGGGAAATGTAATCTCCAGGAAGATTAATGTAACTGAGATCTCCCAGAAGCACAACTATAGATATAAACCAAAAGCCTGAAGTGCTAAATTCCAGTACAGGGAGTGATCAATGAAACCAGAATTAGGATTTGTGGTTTGTTTTATAGACAAAGTTGGCTTGGGAGGTTGTGTAGAAATGTCTAGTGAAGTTGGGGTGGTGGAGAGAGGAAGGGAGGAGCAGAACCTTAGTAGTCAAGAGCAAGGACAGTGTGCACCAGGTCTGTTTAGTTCAGTGGCAGAAAGTGCTGTCTTCCTCTGATAACCTTGACTGCACTGAAGAAAATCAAACCTCACCTGTTCCCCTTTCCCAGGACTTTGCATAATCAACAATACTTTATTTGTTGGGATATTAATATTATTGTTGCAGTGGACTCAGAACTAGTATTTCTCCCCGCCCCACAAACAGGACAACAAAACTCAGGAATAAAATCCTTCAGTAGCAACATTCAGGGTCCTTGTCAGTGCCAGTGCTAAATTAGGTGAGAAAGAGCAATATGCCACCAGCATATCTGGAAATCTATTGGCTAAATTCTGTTCAGTTACATCTCTGCAACCTGGTTGACATCAGTGGAGATGTAACCGAGTGTAGATTTTAGCTCTGTAGCCCTGCATGGCCTCAAAGTATCAGAACCACAAAATAAATCCATGCCAGGGACGGGATCCCCAAAACAAAAGCCATTGTCTATCTAGTTTTGAATTGACCTTTTCCCATTGATGGAAACTGGCTCTGAATGGGCTCTTTATTATATCAGTGTTGCCTACCCACTTTCAGGTGTCACCATCTTCTACTGCATGCCATAAACTCTGCAAGATTTAGTCCCCCCAGTTCAATAATGCTGGCTTGCTTACAAGAAAGAAGGGTACAGATGAAATGCTGCTTCTGGCTCTTTTACCCAGTGCATAGCCCCTGTGCTTGTGAACAAACAGAGATGTTTCTTTCATAGCGTGGCATTCTGTATCTGTATCTGTCTGCCTCTTGCCTTTTCTGAAAGGATTTAGATGAAATGACCATTCAATGGATAATGTAAGACAGGAGTGTGGCATGGGTTGTAGTAGGAACATTTGGGAATGGGTGAACACAGCAGTGCAGGAATGCCCTGGTAGCTACAGCATGGAATGCAGAAATAGTTGGATGCAGGAGCACAGGCACAAAGTAAAGAAAATTGTAATTGTAAAGTTCAGGAATGGATGGAGATCTTAAGACAGCAGCAAGTGCAAGTTTTGTCATGGTAGTAGAAGAGATGGAGGCTGTGTCCCAGGAGTGGAGAAGTGAATGTTAGCAGTTGGATAGAAATGTGAGTTTGCAGTCGTAGGGGAGGACAGGAAAGTCTACCTATAGCAGCCCGTTTCAATCATGGGTGGATGCAGTGTCACAGGGGTGCAGTAATGCACAGGATTGCAATATAGCATTGCAGGAGCAACACCCATTTATTATACACTGTCATTAGAAGAGAGCAACAGCACCATAGAGTAAACAGTTTCTTTAGTCCAGGAATTTCTAGCTAACACACCCAGCCCACTGTGTTGTTATCACACAGTGAGTTAAGCAGTTAAAATAAATTTTCAGTTACACATTAGGAGGGGAGCACAATGCTGCAGATTTACAGCAATGACAAAATATGATCCAGGAGCACCAGTATGTGTTTGATACACAAGAAAAACATCCTGCTGTACTTACAGAGTGGTGCAATGATATGGCCGTGTATGCAGAATACTACAGTGGTACAATCAGACCGGCAGAAAACGTTGCAGGGATGACTTCACACAGTATGTCATTATTGCTGTAGCCGTGTGCAATAGCAGCCCAGGACTCCAGAGTTGTGTCTTAGGCAGATAGATTTGTAACTGTACAGAAAGAAACAAGAGCATGGACAGAAGTGCTATACTGTAGTAGTCCAGTGGTGCATGGATAAACAGATGTGGGGTGTTGTAATACTGTATTAGTATAAGCCACGGTGTCACATTAGGCTAATGACATATTAGTGTGTTGGCTCTGTGGAGTAATACATAATATTATAAGAGCATTTTAGTGTGGTACTTATGCTTGGGTGTTGTACAGCACCAGAACGACTTGATAGTACAGTACGGACAATGCAGTGATATAATAACACAGTCCTGGGGCAGTATAAGGAAGTGATGCTGGTGCAGCGTGTGTATATTTTGGCAGTTCAAGGATGGGATATTTGTGTAGTGTTGTAGCTTGGCAGCACAGTGGTGTAGCAGATTGGCAGTCTAATTCTGGAGTAATATAATATTGTAAAGGCATGATATCCAGTCTCATGGCAATTGCATTCAGTGTGATCTTAGCACAGGGCTGTGCCAGTCTGGCAGTGCAGTGTTGTAATACCATAAAACAGTGAGTGAGATGTTAATACAGTGCTGGAGGGGAGGATTACTGTGAATTAGTGAGAGTAAAATTAGTGCAGTATTATGGAAATACAATTTTGTACAGTGAACTTAATGCAGTGTTGTTATGGTCCAGGAGTAGTTTCTTAGAGTGACAGTGTAGTAGTGAGATATTAATGCAATGGTGCAATAATGCAGCTGGATGGTGGATACTAGTGCAGTGGTGGGGAAGAATGACCGTGGCAGGAGGATAGTGGTGCAGCAGCTTGCAATTGGGAGAGTGGTGCAGTAATATGGCAGCCTGGTGTCCAATGTTGGAGCAGCAGCGTGGCAGCATGTTGCAGGGATGGTGGTGCAGTAGAATGGCAGCGTGGCAATGGGATGTTGCAGTGGCACAGAAGCGTGGCACAGTGATATTGGTACAGCAGTAATGTGGCAGCATGGCAGGAGAGATAGCAGTACAGCATTAGCATGAAAGAGGGATAGCACTGCAGCGTTAGCATGGCAGCAGGGATAGTGGTTCAGGGACAGCAGGGCAGAAGGGATAGCACTGCGTAGTTAGCGTGGCAGCAGGGATAGCAGGGCAGAAGGGATAGCACTGCAGTGTTACCGTGACAGCAGGGGTAGTGGTGCAGGGACAGCAGGGCAGAAGGGATAGCACTGCAGTGTTACCGTGGCAGCAGGGATAGTGGTTCAGGGATAGCAGGGCAGAAGGGATAGCACTGCGATGTTAGTGTGGCAGCAGAGATAGCAGGGCAGAAGGGATAGCACTGTAGTGTTAGCGTGGCAGCAGGGATAGCAGGGCAGAAGGGATAGCACTGCAGTGTTACCGTGGCAGCAGGGATAGTGGTTCAGGGATAGCAGGGCAGAAGGGATAGCACTGCAGTGTTAGCATGGCAGCAGGGATAGTGGTACAGGGGTAACATGGCAGCAGGGATAAGGTGTAACAGTAGCTTGGCAGCAGGGATAGTGGTTCAGGGACAGCAGAGCAGAAGGGATAGCACTGCAGTGTTACCGTGACAGCAGGGGTAGTGGTGCAGGGACAGCAGGGCAGAAGGGATAGCACTGCAGTGTTACCGTGGCAGCAGGGGTTGTGGTTCAGGGATAGCAGGGCAGAAGGGATAGCACTGCAGTGTTAGTGTGGCAGCAGGGGTTGTGGTTCAGGGATAGCAGGGCAGAAGGGATAGCACTGCAGTGTTAGCGTGGCAGCAGGGATAGCAGGGCAGAAGGGATAGCACTTCAGTGTTCCTGTGGCAGCAGGGGTTGTGGTTCAGGGATAGCAGGGCAGAAGGGATAGCACTGCAGTGTTAGCATGGCAGCAGGGATAGTGGTTCAGGGATAGCAGGGCAGAAGGGATAGCACTGCAGTGTTACCGTGGCAGCAGGGGTTGTGGTTCAGGGATAGCAGGGCAGAAGGGATAGCACTGCAGTGTTAGCGTGGCAGCAGGGATAGCAGGGCAGAAGGGATAGCACTGCAGTGTTACCGTGGCAGCAGGGGTTGTGGTTCAGGGATAGCAGGGCAGAAGGGATAGCACTGCGGTGTTAGTGTGGCAGCAGGGATAGCAGGGCAGAAGGGATAGCGCTGCAGTGTTACCGTGGCAGCAGGGGTTGTGGTTCAGGGAT